GAGATATTTATTTCTGTTTTTCTTTTATAGCCTTGTATCTTTTCCTCTGCTTTCTTTTCTCCTAATTCAGAAAAATCGAAGATACGGGAACTCAGCAAAAAACAGAAAGAGGGGATGAAAGGCAAAAGGATGAAGAAACTAATCTCCGCAATCAAATCAACGACAATCTTTCACCAATAAAGGATAACTCTTCCAATTCTAACTTCCTCCCTTCCTCCACTGATATCCAAAACCATTATAATTCAGATAAGGACAAATCAGAAATAGAAAATAACCCTAACTTAATTACTCCAGAACAAAAAGTGCAAGCCAATGAACTCTTAAAAATAGTAATTAGTGGTGAGTTACTAATTAAGAAAAAACGATTTAATCGAGAAATCTTAACTAAACTAATTACTGAAAAAAAGAATAATACTTTTCTTTATCAATTATTAAATAAAGAAAGTAGAATAGATAAAGTAATTAGTAAATTAGAAAGTATTCAACAATCTCAAAAAAAAAAATATCTCTGGGAAATTGGAATAAAAAATAAAACAATAAAGTCCGCCCAAACCGAAATAGATAATTTAGAAGAAGAAAACGAGGAATTATTTCAAGAAAATGAAAGTTTGCGGGATGAATTAGAAGCCGGATTAAAAGATAAACAAAATAAAGAAAGTCGCCTTAATAATTTGTTTAAGCAGCGGCAAGTTTTTCAAAATAGATATAATACTGAAAAAGAAAAAGTTAGTAATTTAGTCCTAGAACTCCAAAAAGAGCAAGCAAAAAATGATGATGTTCAGCATAAGTTATTCGAAACTGAACAAGAAAATAGGATGCTCAAATATAAAAATATTGAGTTAGAAACTGATTTAAACAATGCTCTCCAAAAGAAAAGCGAATTAAGAAAAAGGCTTATTGAAATCAAAAGGAGTCACAAGTCCTCAGTTCAAAAGGCTCAAGCAGCTAATTTATGCCGAGATTTAATTAAATATGAAAGTATTGGGGAACTGGAAAATGATAAAGATAATGTGCTTAAACAATTTATTTCTCAATCTACCGGTTCGCTAATTGAAACGGTGGCTAATTGTCAACAACATTTAAAACTCACTGATTTAACCCAAATTAAAACTACTCACCCTATGCCCGAAGGTAAAAGTTTAGAAGATTTAATTACTTTTTATCACGCTAACCAAACTAAGACTCCAACTCCCACTCAACCAACCATTACCAAATTGGAGTCCGGAGAACCTAATGAAACCATAATCGTGAACCAAATCATTCAAGAATGTGATTTAGGTCTTAACCAAAATAGTAGTTTAAATCAAGTAATTAGCCAAATTAATAAACTAATTAAAACTAAACCACCAACCATTAAACCTGTCAACCAGCCAAGTGATAATCCGTTTGGCGAGAGTTTAGAAAAAATTGCAGAGATTGATTTAAATGGTTTAGAAAAGGAATTAGGAATTAAGTTGTCAAGTGAAATAAAACAACAAATCAAGCAAGCCACTAACTACCAAGAATTAAGTTCCCTGAGAAATCAAGAAATTAAGAGTTATTTAGAGAGAAATCAAGGAAGTGTAATAACTAGTCAGCCACAGCAAGAAGTAGTTAAGTTGTTTGGAAAAGAAAGAATAGTCTGGGTCAGTTGGCTAGTGATAAGTTTATTAGTGATCGGCGGTCTCTTATTAAAAATAAAGGTAAAGCAGAAAGAGAAAAAAAGGATTTAGTTCTTTTCTAACTTTTTTACTTTCAAAAAAGGCTTGGAGACCCATTTGCTTATGTAAAAAAAGTTGGTTAAGATAAATGGTTTGGGTATAAACTGGAATGTTTCCCATTTTCAGTAAAGGTTCGCGTTCATGTCAACCTCTCCTCACTTCTACTTTTTTCTTTTCTTAATTTCAGTAAGGTTGTTCTAAATCAAAACTACCGAATTTGATAATGGGTTCTGAACTAAAATAAAATATTATGAAAGAAATTATAATAATTGAAACTTCCAATGCAAATAAATTAAAGACTATTCTCACTAAAAACCATATCGAACACCAAATTATTTATAATGAGCCTTTAACCGCTAAAAAACCTAGTAGCAAAAAAGATAAATTAAGAGAATATATTGAAATGAAAAGCAAAGAGGATATTTTTGCGGATTACGGCAAGGCTTTACAAGATAAAGAATTAGAAGCCGAAAAGGAATTATTAGAGAATGACTTTGACTAAAAAAATTAAAGCGAAACCGGTAATTGGCGAAGTCAAAAAAGGCGAAGTTTACCGCTATTGAATTTGAAAACATGAAGTGGTAGGCACGGAAATTAAAAAAGAAAAGCGATTAGGAGTAATTATCTCAACTGATAAACTAAATAAATGAGATAAGCGTTTTGTGATTGTTCCTTTAACTAGCAAAAAGTTAGGAGAAATTTATCGTTATGAGGTTCGCACTTTTGTTGATAGTAAACACGGCAAGGCTTTAATCGACCAAATAAAAACAGTGGATAAAAAGCGACTAATTAAGAAATTGGGACAATTAACTGAAAAAGAAATGGATGCTATTCAGGAAAAACTATTAGGAATATTTGATTTATGGGAATACTTAAAGAAGAGAGAGTTAACGTAAAAACACTAATAATAATTGCTTGTCTATCACAGAAGGGTGGAGGTGGCAAATCTACCCTAACTCGCTGTCTAGCGGTGGAATTAACCAAGCAAAAGAAAAGTATTTTACTCGCCAAAAAAGGAAAAAAGTCCTCCCAAACCTAAATAATAAAACAGTAAAATAAAAGTTATAGAGAATAATTTATATAAATATTATTAAATATTATGTCAGAAAAAATAATAAAATGTAATAATTGCGGAGAGGAGTGTTATCCTTATATCTACAAAGGTTCTAACAATACTTATTTATGCGGAAATAATGCTTGTGGAGGAAATGTCTGCTTTAAATGTGGTAAAATAGAAACCCGAACTGAATGGAGAAAGGAGGAAGATTGTTGCGGAAATGAGATTATGAGAGAAAAGAAAGTTGAAATGTTTTATCAAACAGAAAAAGACGAAAACGACCCCGATAGGGAATTAAAAGTTTACTATTGCGAGGAACACCAGGGAGAAGCCCAAAAAAGTCCCTATAAGTGAACCAAAACGGATGTGGAAAGAAAACAAAAAAAAGAAAAGGAAAAAAAAGTCCAAGAGGAACAAGAGCGAGAAGAAAAATTAAATAACCAAAAAAATCTTTTTTACTCTCTGGCACAAGAAGACTTAAATAAAACTAAACAGCATTATTTTGTCTTTTTAGGCAAAGAAAATGGACAAAAATATTATCTAATGGTGCCGCAGGAACATTCTATATGAAAATCAAATGACCCAGCCGTAAAGAAACTAATGGAAAACATGGCATGAAGTGAATCGTGTTTCTGCTTGGTTTATGGAGTAGAAAATATTCCGATTGAAAAAAGTTCTCCTGATTACTGAGAACATTTGGGTAGAAATATAACCGAACCTATTTTTCATAAAATTGTTGAAATGAACCATAAAATTATTTTTGCCGAAGCGGATGAAAACCCTGAAAAAGATAAGCCAGTGGAGAATGAACCACTTGATAATCCTCCTAATTCTCTGCCCAAAGAACCAATCAGCGGTAAATTCCTACTTCAATATTTCCAAAAAAACAGCATCAAGTCAATTAAGTTAGAAGATCAAGTCTTAATCATTGAAAAAAATGATAACTCAATTTCTGCTAGTCCTTTCGCTAAGTTTCCCGAATTAAAGGGATTAGACCGTTATTTAGAAAACCAGCCTGATAAAAAGGTTAGTCGCCAAGAATTAGAAACAAAAAATAATTCTGATAATACCTCCCCCACTAAACCCCAAGGTAATACTTGAAAGATAGGGTGCGGAATAGGAGGAATAATAATAATTATAGTAACGATTGGACTATTCCTTAAAAGAAAGAGAGGGAAGAATAAATAATAAAACTAAATAAATTAAATTAATAAGAAAGTAAAGTTAACTTTTCTTTTTCTATCTCTTCTAATTTTAGTGCTTGACTTACTTGAAATTTACCAGAACTAATTCTCCTTAATTGGTTAACGGTGGCAATGGTTCCTAATTTTTCAGCAATATCTTTTACTAAACTACGAATATAAGTGCCCTTGCTACATTCTGCTAAAAAATTTATCTTTGCTTCGTGGGGGGAATAATTTAACAATTTTATTTCCCTTATTTTCACCAACCGCGGAGGAACTTCTATTAGAATGCCCTTTCGAGCATACTGATACAACTTTTTACCCTTTATTTTTATGGCGGAGTACATTGGTGGTTTTTGTCAATATTCGTAATCGTTAAAAGAATTGACGATGGTTTGAACTTGGTTTTCTGTAAACACTTGCGGCTTTTGATTTTTAATGGTTTTGCCTATTATATCGCCAGTATCAGTTTCTAAAAATAATTTCATTTCTACTTCATAAGTTTTGGATTGACAAATTAATAAATTGCTTAGTTTAGTGGATTTACCGAGCATAATTATTAACAAGCCGGTAGCCAGTGGATCCAAAGTTCCAGCATGACCTACCTTTTTTATACCCAGTTTCTTCCGAATAATTTCTACCACTTTGTGCGAGGTAATCCCTGATGGTTTGTCAATTAAAAGTATGCCGTCCATATCAAAATTTAAGTAAAAATGATTTATCATAAAACTTGTTCCGGAGTTTAAAAATTTATTGCGAAAAAAAAGTCTCCTAATTAAAGAGCATCCCCTATTAAATCAGGAGTTCCGGTTAAAGAACAGGCGCCATCAACATTTTTAGGAAAGGCCATTAATTCCTTTAAACTTTTGACTTGTAAAATGGTGGCTAATAGGCGGTCAATTCCGAGACCAATTCCTCCGTGCGGGGGTGCAGCAAATTCTAAGGCTTGTAAAAAATACCCAAAATTCTTTGCTCTTTGTTCTTCATTATAGCCTAATATTTGCAACACTTTGGATTGCAATTCGGCTTGGTGAATCCGGATACTACCACTTAGTATTTCTTCCCCATTCAGAACTAAATCAAAAGCCTCACAAATTATTTTTTCCGGTTTAATTTTATTATTCAACAAAGACTTGATATATTTTTTTTGGGGAATAGTAAAAGGATGGCGAAAAGATTCATATTTTTTAGTTTCTTTATTATACTCAAAAAGCGGTCAATCAGTTATTCACAAAAATTTTAACTCTTTTTCATTTTTTGGGTTAGAGCGTAAATCCGGTTTATCAGTGCCATATTTTTTTATAACTTCTTGGTAGGTTAAAGAAAGAAAAGGAATTTTTATTTGGTAGCCAAAGGTTTTTTTTAAAACAGTTCTGAGTAATTTTTCGACCAGTTTTTTAATTTCTTTTACTGAAGTAAAACTTAACTCTAAATCTAATTGAGAAAATTCGATTTGCCGATTACTGCGGGCATCCTCATTCCGAAAAGATTTAGCAATTTGATAGTATTTTCCTAAGCCACCGACCATTAATAACTGCTTAAAAACTTGAGGTGATTGAGGCAAAGTATAGCAACGACCTTTGAGGTTGGAGGGAACTACAAAACATTTAGCACCTTCGGGGGAACTTTGCGACAAAATTGGGGTTTCAATGTCGATAAACCCTCTTTTATGAAAAAATCCTCTTAATTCATAGCAAAATTTATTTTTAATAAGCAGTAATTTCTTACTACTGGAATTGCGCAAATCTAAATAACGATAACGATATTTATTATCCTCTTTAACGTTAACCAAAGGAAAGGGTAAATCTTTATTAGAACTATTAGCATTAATTAATTGAAACTTAGTCAATTCAATTTCTAGTTCTTCTTCTTTTTTTGAGTCTTTTTCTGCTTTTTTTATTTTGATGATACCTCATATTTTTAGCAAATCACCTTTTCTAATTTCTTTTAGTTGTGAGATTAGTTCTTTATTTTTGACTACAATTTGAATACAACTACTACTGTCTTGGCCAGTAATGAACCACAATGAATTACCTTTTTCATTAATGTTAATAATCCAAACATAAAGAATAGTTTTTTTATTTAAATTTTTAAAGGTTAACTTGGAAATTTGTGAGAAAGAAGTCATTATCTACTTAATAAATTAATTTTTAGGTGTTTTTGGTTGTTGGTGAAGTAACAATATCGAGGGAGAAGAAAAATTTGTAATCCGAAAGCAATAAATACTTAACTTTAAGAGAGACAAAAGAGGTGGAACTATGAAATTAAAAAAATATGTCTCTCTACACAAATTATATAATAAAATAAATTATAGAATACTTATTAAAAAAGTTTCTATATAGAGAAGATGATAAGGTTATAAGATAAAACAACAATAAGGAAAGGTTATCCCTTTCTAATTTGCCTAGTGTTGAAAAAATAGTTTGATAATTCTTGTTAAAATTTAGTAATTTTATAAAATATAAAGCAAAATATTAAAAATATATGACAAAAAAATCACTACAAGACTGATATAACAGCAGCGACATAACTTATAGTCAAAAACAAATAATAAACAAGTTTGGAGTAGGTGATTACTATCCTGAGAGTGAACGAAGAGATTTTTTAAAAATATACCACTGAAATAATATATTAGAAAGAAATATTGAAAGATTAGTAAGTAATAGCAATGAGGATTTGGTCTACCAAATGAATTTTTTTTCTACTTGGTGAAATAACAACTTAATAATATTTATTGATGGTAGAGAAAACAATTATCATTTGAGACTAATTGTTTATGAAATGCCTTATAAGAAAAATGGAGAAACTAAAATGTATGAGATTTTTGAAGTATTTTTTGTGGGATGAATCTATCCAGGTACTTTATATGAGGCTCAAAGTGAAGCAAAGAGAGTAGAAGGAAAGTTAAGGAGCGATAATCCAATACTTTGTGGAACGCCCACAACAAATTTAAGTTTTTATTATTATGATGATTACAATGTTAGTGTTTTCCCTTTTTTATTCAACAATGACCAAGTAAAAAGGATCGGAGTAGACTTTGATAAAGCAAGATACAATCCTGATGATTATTTTAAGCCATTGGATATTGCCATGGTGTTTAATGATGAGTGAGTTCATGCTTGCGTATATTTAGGCAACAATCAAATCTGTCATGCTCTTTCAGGAAACAAAGTTGAAATTGAAAGTTGAGAGAAGTTTCTTTTTGGGGTAATTACTCCTTACCAAAGAAAAATACTTCGTTATCACCCGGTAATTGCTTTCAAAAAAACTGATGAGATAATTAAACATATTGCCAATTGTGTTGAGGGAGAAGAGAATTACTATTCTCGTTCTAATCTTAAAAAAGGGCCATTTAGAATAAAAAAGAGGGACGGATATGAAAATAGCAATAACTGCGAAAATTTTGTTAACAGGTGTGTTCTCGGACTTGATTTTTCTGAATTAGGAGAAAAGAAAGCAGAGGAAAAGATACAAGGCTATAAAAGAAAAACAGAAATAAATATCTCCGAGCATTTGAATAAAACAAAAAGCGAGTTAGACAGATTAGTTAATAATGTTCCTTGAAGTCAGGTAAACGACACAAAAAATAAAATAAAAGAATACAGACGGAACAGCGGATATGAAAGTTTTGATGTTATGAGAGATGGATACAACATGTATGATACCTGTATTGAAGTGCAACCCAAATCAAAATACATATTCAAAGAAATGTATAATAATATGTTAACAAGAAATAGAAACAATTAAACAACCATGGTAAAATCACGAGAATTATTATTACAAGAAATTAAGGAATTGCACGAGAATTATTTCCGAGGTCTTAGTAAAAAAGAAAAAGAAAAGATTTATTTGGTTGTTTTCTCATTTCTCTCCAACTTTTTTGACATCTGGATTTTCTGAGAAAAAAACCTTTTCTTTCTCTGCTAACTCATCAAGACATTTCCGACAAAGTTTAAATAAATGAATGTTATCTCGTTGTCGACCACCATTTTTTTCCTGCAAAAAATTAATTCGGAATGAATGATTTTTCTTTTCCGCTTGTTTTTCTTCGTCAGTTAAAATTAAGGATTTCTCAACATCTTTAAGTTTGTCATAAAATTTAGGAAGTTTGGTGATTAATCTACGAAACCTTTTGAGAAAAATTTCAGTGTCATTAATGAAATCACGAACACCAATAAGAAAAGCAATATTATAACTTTGTTTCTGACAACAAGCATCACAGACATAATTTTCCTTTCTGTTTCAGCAGTTATTACATTCGGTTGCTTCCCAACTTATTCTTTTTTTGCAATCGTAAAATCCACACTTTTTTATGATAGGTATGTCATTTTGTTTATGATTTAGAGCATTTTCAATTTCGGCTCATTCTTCTTCAGAAAAACTAATGAGTTGATTAAAATCTGGTTTGTAATGTTTCCTTCCTGATTTGTGTTCTACTACTCGATGGGTACCATAGATAGTTTCTTCTGGTTTTGCTCTTCTTATTTTCCAATCTTGGGGATTCTGTTTGATTTCATTGATAAATCCGTTTACGATTTCATTTCTATAGTCCTTGTTGCCAAGACATATTATACCAACGCATTTGCTAACAATTCCGCCTAGATTTAAAGATTCTAGTCCTCCGTCTACTCTATAAAAAAAACCTTCGGGATCCAATGCCCAACTCGACAAATCATCTAACATTCTTTCTTTTATTGCTTTCTCGAATTTTTCCAACTCCTCCTCCTTTTCTTTATCTAACTCCTTAATTCTTTCGATGGGAAAAACCGTTTCTTCCCCCTCCTCTCTTAACTTTCTTCATCTTTCAATTTCAATCTTTTTTTCTTCATAAATCTTTTCTTTTTCTTTTTTACTAAGACCTCGGAAATAATTCTCGTGCAATTCCTTAATTTCTTGTAATAATA